TGTTAAAATGCAACTAATCACTGAATTAATTATGCTTCTTTACACATTTTCAACCAAGAAAAATATACAATAAAGTTATGATTTCCCATTGCTTTCAAATGACTCTTACATAGAACACAAAATTTAAATTCAGTCAAGTTATATGAAAATTATTACTATGGCTAAACAAATGATCTTGAAATATAGCATCATCATTTTAGAAAGCATTTGAAGTGGGCAAGTTTATTTCAAAAGCAACAATACCCTAATAATACGTAATACTACTTTTCAATTTAGTTGAGATTTGTTTACACAATGAATTAATGTGAAACCATCAAAATTGTGCTGCTTCAAACATTTTCGTATTTATAAAAATAATTCAAGACGTTTTTAAGCTTACAGATTGTCAACACTTTTATAATTTTATTTACATAAAGCATATAAATTTATAGTACAAATTTCTGATTTTTTTATATCTCCTTGTCTCTCTATCTTATTCCTACCCTAAGCTCAACTTTTGCTACCAGAGATACCTGTGTAGGCAGATTTAACACTTACACAGAAGAAAATGAAAGACAGTAATTTGCTATATAACCATAATCAAATCATATAGATATCTATCCTTGCCTTAATATCCATGTTAAAAATGAAAAATTTAGTGCTTTGTATTGATACTGCCAAAATACATATATAGTCTTACCTCTTATCTTTTTAAGCTTTTAGTTTTTTGTGGGAAGCATAAATTTTTGCTGTTGTAGGCAATTTCCCAGAGCTAAAGAAAGCTTTTTTTTCCCTTTGCCTATATAGCAAAGGTACATCCAGGTACACGGATGGGTAGGTGGATTTTTCTTTAAACATTTGGTGCTCCCTCTCTCTTCCTTTTTAAGAAATTTTACAACATTGAGTGACAATATTAATTTCTCATTAGGCAAAATGCATGTTCTTATTTAGTCAATGTGGGCGCATTCTTCTTTAAGAAGCCACCAATTTAAAAAACAGAACAGAGAGTGAATTGAGTGAATATTTACTTTACAAAGGTTGATCAGAATGTAAGAAAAAAAGTGTCAAATGATCACCTCAATGTGTTAAGTCCTTCTAGTAATTTGTTTTCATTACAAAATTTAGTAACATATTGAGGTAATAGAAACTCAATGACTATATTCAGCAATGAATCCTAGCATAATTACACTTGCTCTTGATTATTCATTTTAAAACATATAAAAGGTATTTGCAATCACCTTGTTTGCATTGCCAGCCCGGGAAACATGATCAAACTTCATCTCTGCAAAATTTTTGATTTAATTTTTAATTTTTGATTTTATATAATTATAGGCTAAAACCAAAAAGTACGAAACATAATTAATATTGTTTCCTTTTTAGGATTTTTAAATACTTGCCTCATCATCAATTCTGAGAAACTTTAATAAATGTTTTATAAATTTTTATAAATTGGATAGTAATACCCCTTATTAGAATGTATAAGAAAAGCAGTTGTATATTTTGGACAATACTGATGTTTTTAAATGAATATTAATCATAAAGAGAATAATCAAAAACATAACTGAAATTTGCTTTTCAACAAGAATAAGATGAAAATGCATCTAATGTAAGAAAAATAGCTCACTGCAGGCTCCACCTTCCAAGCTCAGGTTATCCGCCTACCTCAGCCTCTCCAGTAGCTGGGACTACAGGTTCGTGCCACCACACCTGACTAATATTAGTATTTTTTGTAGAGATGAGGCTTCATCATGAGACCCAGGCTGGTCTCAAATTCCTGGGCTCAAACAATCCACCCACCTCAGCCTACCAAAGTGCTGGTATTACAGGCATAAGCCACTATGCCCAGCAATAAAACTCTCATTCTACCATTGTAACTTGTCATTCCATTTTGGAAAATTGTTTATTTTATTAATTTAAAAAATAAGTGAAGATTCTCTATAACATTTTATTCACTGTGGTCATTAATTGCCAGAACAATTATTAAAATACTTGAAAATATATTTGAGCATAAGATGACTTAGCAGATATTTTATTCAATATCTTATAATTACAGCACCAATTTCAGAGGTGCTTAAAATGATTATATCTTAAAAATTCACAAGTTTGGATGTTTCATTACCTGACAAGTGTTAATTCCATATTAAGCTACTTCTGTACTGTGAATTTATAAGTACCATTTAAAGCAATCTTACAGAAAATATTTAATCTACTTAAAAATTACAGGTGTTGTACTATCATATTTTCATATGCCCAAAACATTTAGAAAAGAAATCCACAAATATATAATTAAACAACTGTGAATAATTAAATATTAATCAGTACATATTAACAATGCTAGTTTCCTTAATAAACAAAACAAGAGTCACAACAGTTATTACTAACTTCTATAATCCTTTTTTTTTTTTTTTTAGACGGAGTTTCGCTCTTGTTGCCCAGGCTGGAGGGCAATGGCGCGATCTTGGCTCATTGCAACCTCCGCCTCCTGGGTTCAGGCAATTCTCCTGCCTCAGCCTCCTGAGTAGCTGGGATTACAGGCATGCGCCACCATGCCCAGCTAATCTTTTGTATTTTTAGTAGAGACAGGGTTTCACCATGTTGACCAGGATGGTCTCGATCTCTTGATCTCGTGATCCACCCACCTTGGCCTCCCAAAGTGCTGGGATTACAGGCTTGAGCCACCGTGCCCGGCCGGAATAATCCTTTTTATATTAATGTTAAATAATTATACCTTTCACTTATTTATCACTGCACAAGGTTTACAGAGTGTTTTCCATGCATAATAAATATTCTTCAGCCAGTTATATCTTGGTATAGATGACAAGGACAAGTTAAACATTTAAAACACATAAGCTATAGCAAACTCATCTACAAAATATTGCAGTTTCAAAAAGATATTTTAAATATCAGATGTCTCTAATGCATCTTACAGTGATTCTACATAAACTATAAAATTTGATTTCACATAAATTTCCCTGAACTTAGCATTTGTATTTTTCTCAAATAGACATAATCACATGTGTTTCATTGGAGTTGGTTTCAAAAACAGGAAATTGAATATGGCATTATTTTAGGGAAAAGCCCAGTGGACTTGTAACATTCCAAGCTATCACAGGATAATCTCATGACCTAGAGACCAACATTATTACACTGCTTGCCACCTGTGCCGAGATATGTGGAATTACATGGAGAAAGTCCAAACCTTCAAATATTTCTTATTATTAAACTTGCTCAGACCACAGGCTGAAATGTCTAAAGAATTAATGAGGACTAGTTATTACTTGCTCATTATTAGGTAGTCTCCAAGACTCAATTCTTGGTCTTCAGCTTCTTGGGAAACTGAAACCTTCAGGCAGGGCAGCTGAGATCTAGGGAGAACTGGCTTGGTATGGACACCTGCATCTCCTGAAAGAAACCCTGGATCTCACTTGCCTCTTCCCTGTTACTGACCAAAGCAGAGGAACCATTTACAGGTATAGTTATGGAGCACAACCACAAAAGAGCCCATACCTACACGAACAAACCTACAATGACCACACCCTGACTGCTGAGCTTACATCTACTTGCTCTTCAGGACTAACCAGAGGAATCAGCTTCTCTAGGAAACATTCCTTGATCACTGCCTCTCACCTCTTCTACTTTAGGTGTTACCCTTATGTACAACTTTGTGCTTCATCCAATTAGTGCAGGCAGCAAACCCTATTAGAATGGCATATTTACATTTGTTTGTGGAACATCACAATGTAAAATTCCTTCAAACACAGATCAAGATGATTTTATTTTTATGTTCCCAGACCCAAGCCAAGTACCTAGCAGATAGTACGTGCTCAGTAAATGTTTGTTGAATGAAGCCACCACTGCCACATACAGCACATCTGCCATGTTAATGATCTGGAGGTGAGGATAAGACCCAACTGGAAGAGACCAACAGCATGTAGTGAAAATGCCATGTCGCAGTCTCCTTAATGCCAGTATGAATGCAGTTTTTACAGCATCAGAAAACAGCTTTCGAACCTGTCACCACTGACACCTTTGTAGGCCTATGCATAAAGACAATATAGCATTTTTTATAATGATAGTATTTTACTGCCATAAACACTTAAAACCAAGGAATCTCATTTTTAAAAAAAAAAAAAACTTTAGAAAATGGCTGTATTTTCTGAGATTCCATTCTATATGTAAAACATGTTTAAGGCTTTCAAATAATTATATTATTTGTTCTCTTTCTAAATAAAATACATTATATTGTTACCAAATATTTGAAATTTATACTCTTTATTTTTTATAGAATAATTGAAACCATTGATTTAAAAACTCATTGTTTTATATGTGAATCACTCTGAAATAACATTTCATCTTCTTCCTTCAGAAAAAGGATGTTCCAAGGAGAAGTTCACTTTAAAAATTTATATGAAGAGATTTCTGATGAAGCAAAAACATACATATACTACATTAAAAAATATAAAAAGATATCCTACATATATAAGATTAAAAATGTTTTCATGAAAGTAACAGACCTGAAGAAAGTCTGGAATCTCTGCAAACTTTCCTGTAATTTATGGAAAACATAAAACATGAATTTACTATCTGCCTCTTTAAACTTTATTCTATTTTTCTAAAGCATCCTCAAAATAACAGAGGAACATTTTAGGGTGGGGTTGAAATATGTACTTTGGTTATAGTTTATAGACAATAGATATAAACAAGGTAATTATTATCAGAGAGTAAAGCAGACAGACTTGAATTCTGATCACAGTTGCACACAGAATAGAGCTTGATGACGTAATCAGAAGGTAAAGTGCAGCATACACAAAGCACAAAATACAGTCTAATAAGTATTCACATGCTTAGGTTATTTCAATTTAGTTCTTACATGCAACGTTATGAGCATCTAATGTAAATAAAATATGTACTAAATGGTTTCCCTAGACAAGGCTACTCAAAGCTTCTAAAATCTCTTAGTCACTACACATTTTTTACAATGCCAGAAAAGAAAATGAGAAATTATTAATTTTTAAAATTACCCAGCAATTCCATTGCATCATCTTCATTATCAATATCTTCTTCTGTTACGGATGGGGTAGGGCTGTGGATGGACTCAAAAGAATCTTGAGAGAGCATCGCGGCCAGGAGTTTCTTATGTTGCTGTTGCTGCTGTTTTAATCCTTTAGTCTTAGGCTCCATCTTTAAACTGAAGAAATATTTAAATGTTAATTTGCTGTGTTATGTAAAGAAAATCTACAAATAAATTTCCATTTGGTTATTATGCAAATACATGGACATGTTACTAAAGTTTTCTCCAAGGATAATGGAAATACTGTCTTTCTTGGACACCCATTTGTACCTTGCTAAGGAATTCCCAAACTGAAATCTGGCTCATTTAAGAGGGAAGGTGTTAATTTACTCCTACCTATTGTTGCCATGTGGAAATTAAAGTCTACTTGGTTGTTTTCTGATTTTTAAAGAGAAGCTAGAAAGTCCAGATTGTTAGTCCTTGATTTACCAAAGCAAGTGCATGTTAAGAAAAGCATACTCAATTGAATAAATATTTTAAAATATTATGTTAAGATGTTTAAAAATTCTCAACTTTAATTTTTTTGCATGTGTATATAGTTGTCTCAGCATCATTTGTTAAAAAGACTATTATCTCTTTCATTGAATTATCTTGCTTTTATTTATAGTCCTTTTGAGTCTATCTCTTTGTATAGTTTTACTAGTGACTGCTCTTCCTGTTACTGTGTGTGCGTGTGTGTATTCAATAGACTATTATATTAGTATCAACGTTTACCACTTGGAGTGAAATATGGATACCTTATTTCCATTTTGGACTCTTTAGTTTCCCTACTTTTTAATATTATTATCAGATGATGTTATAATTTTTATTTCAATAAATATAATTTCTAAAACTCGTGAAGATAGTCCGTTGTATATACGCTTATTTCTGCTCTTTCTGTTTTACTTTCTTCCTTCCTGATGTTTTGAGGTAGATTCTTTCTTGCCAATGAGTTCGATTTATTGTAGCCACTCAGCTCTCCTCCAACTTTTGTGGGGAAAGGGAGTCAGTCTCAAGTGCGGAAGGGAAGGAAAGCATGTCCCCTAACCATTTATTATCAGTGAGAATAGTCAATTCTTCTGGCCTGTGTCTCTGGCTTCTCCCAGATTTGTTGGTGTGGCTACTGTTCAATCAGGGGAAAAAAACCTACATTGGCCAACTTTTCTTGCTAGTCTAGGAGCAGGGAAATGCCAGTTATTCTGTTCAGGGGAGAATTACAAGGTGCCCCTGCTGCTATGCTATTTCTCCAGTCCTCAGGTTCCTAACCATTCCACCTTCCTCTTTACCCTTGTCACGGTTCTCTTTTGGTGCCTTTGGCTTTATTTCAGCGTTTATAGGGGTATGTAGTGAGGGACAGAAAAATGTAATTACTCTGTGTTATCTTGTCCAAACAGAAGTGACACATGACGTGTTAATTAGAAAAGGCAATGGTTATCTTTACACTGGAAAAATCTGGTGGACATCACCTTAACCAAGTGATAAAACTTAGCCTCACCAATAATACTGGACAAATTGACATTATGTACTTCCTAATACAATACAATAGGAAAGTACATCCCATCAACTATGTAGAATTTTTTCCAAAAATGTTTAATATGACTGACAAATGCAGATTTGGGGAAATTTTTCCAGATAACTGGACTGTAGTCTTCAGTAATGTAAATGTCATAAAAAAGAAACAAAAGGCAGAGGACTGTTGTAGATTACAGTAGAATCAAAAGACTTGACAACTAGATTCCACACATGATCCTTTATTACATGCTAGATAAAAAAGAAATAAACAAATATACCAAAATCCATAAAAGACTTTACTGGAAAAGCTGAAGAAATTTGAAAATGGACTCTACATTAGATAACTTTATGGTTGGATTGTCAAATAATTTGATATGATTATATTACAGGTACATAAGAAAATATCTTTATTCTTAAGAACTACATCCTGAAGAATAACAGAATTAACCTTATATAAAATCTATATTTTCAGATGGTTCAGCAAAAAATAAAACAGAAAATGATATATGATAAATATATAGATAATAGGTCATAGATAACATAAAGATGGTAATATGTTCATTGGTGAATACAGGTGGAGGGAATGTGGATCTTGATATTACTACTTTTAAATTTTCTGTGGTTTGAAACTTTTAAAAGTAAAAAGTTGAGGAAAAAAATAAGAACAAATAAATGAAAGTATACACATGTTAACAATATTTATCTTAATTTTATCTTCTATCCCAGCTTAGTTTCCCACATAAATAGGACTGTTGCTAAGATGTTGAAAACATGCATCCCTTTTTAGGTAATTTTTAAATTTGAGCAACTCTTGATATAATTCCAAATGATTAAAGAAAAGTATTTTTACTCTTCAATAGTGGAGATATGATATAAATATTCGCTTGAAAATGGATGGGAGAATCTTATTTAGCTCCAGTCTCTTGCTGTGGCATCTGTCCTCTGCATCATTGCATTGCATTACATGTCTTTTAAACTAAGAAACAATGGAACAATGTTAAAGTCTTCCTTGACCAACTTTATTCATTGAGAAATAAACAAAAACAATCAAAATGGAATTTTAATTTGGATTTCTTAGCTGATAAATTTAACATGTTAAGCTAGAATTAACACCTAAATTATTTCATCTAATTTAAATTTTTTTAAATGACAATATTCATGTATTATTTTAGCCCCATTAGCTTCTGATTACTAGAAGGGATATAGATATTGCTTTGAATGACAATCAAACATAATTCATCTATAAGATGAATGATTTGTGACAAGTAGTTTCTCCTTTCTTTTCCTCAGTTTTGTTATCCATAATGCAGATTATAGTAATACGTCTAATATATGGTGGTTGAACTATTAAAAAGGGTTAAAAAATGTAGAATAGTGCCTGACAAATAGCTCTATTTATGACTTTTTAATCAATTAAATTTCCCATCATAACTTTAAATTTTATATTATGAATTTTAAAAAGGTAATAGAATATTATAACTTATAATATTCTATGCTTACCAAATATATTTTATGTTTTCATGTAGAAAGACAGTTACAGCTTTAAGGCAATTTCCCCCTTAGGAGTTAAATAATAATTCACAAAGTATAACTGTTTGAAGCAGATGTTATATGTACATTGTGACAACTGCTTCTGCCTATTATGTACCTAAATATATATATATATATATTTAGTATATATATATATATATTTAGTATATATATATTTATATTTAATTGTAATATATTATATATATTAATATATATATTAATTAATATATATAAATATATATTTATATTTAAATATATATATATTTAATATATATATATTATGGTTTAATAGTAAATATTTTGTGAAAAAGCAATATATACATCTTGAAATTTTTTATATGAATAATCATAAATCAAATATTTATAAAACATAATTATTTCTAAAAGGCCAACATATCTTCAAAACATGCCTGTTTGTAGAAAAATAATATATCTATTCAAATATAAACTTAGAATTTTATTCCAGGACTATAACTGTTTTTCTAGAATCCTTGGGGCTGGATGTATCCTGTTGCATAAACTCTAAATTATATAATATTTTCAGGAGGGTCTGTGGCCTCACCCTGTTATCAAATACATCAGTATTTCTACATCATTATGTATCAGCGTTCCCCCTGAATGGGATAAATAATCTACAGGGTTCGATCAGGTTTTGCTATAGTGAATTATGAAAACAACTTTAGTTCTCAGAGCATTTTGAATTTTACAATTACAGATAAGGATTGTCAGGAAAATACTGGAATAAATAACTGAGAGATGAAATCTCAAACACTGATGTTAGGTAAAGTGAGATGGGGGCTGAGACTTGAGGTTGGAATTACAGAAGGCAGGGGTCATTAGAATGACACTGGGCCACTTGGACAAGAGGTTATCCGGTGGTATTGACAAGGTTGCTTTCAGTAGATGGTGGAAATAACATTCTGTTTGGAAAAGACTGCAAAATGAGGGGTCTGTGCATATAAGAAAACTACTGTGAGAAGTTTCTTTGTAAAGTGAATGAAAGAGAACAATTAATTAATAGCTGGGGCCAGGGAGACTACATTTTTTAGAGAGAATTCCCATCATACTTTCATGGTGATGGGAATGATCTAGGAGAAAGGAATGGTGCTGGGAATGAAGCTAAGTGATGAGCTTACAATGGGTGAGTGAGAGTAAGGATCTAGCACTGAGTGGAGGAACTTGCGCTGGGCGGGAGCATGAGTGGCTTACCCATAGCCAATGGGGAAGAGCAGAAAACCTACGCACAAATGAGCAAGGTGCACAGAAAGTCTACTGGAGGAAGCTTATGGAGGTGTTCTTCATGAGTAGTTATTTTCTCTTTGAAACAGGAAACAGAGTCATTAGTTAAGAATAAGAATGGGGGGGAAAGGTTGGAGATTGGAGAAGAGCAGGAAAAACGTGACATCATCATTGAGGAGAATGGGCATGTGAATGGCGGAGGCAGGTGCAGCTGCATCACCGGGTAGTACCAGTGTGTCCCTGAAGTTCAGTGGTTATGAATTCAACGACACTGGCCAATGTGGCCATGTGTCCTTCTCTAGCCCAGGTTAGTTTAGCCACAGAATAGGCAAAGAATTAGATTTAAGCATGGTAAAGTTTTGCCAGGAGAGTACAACAGGAAAAGAGTAGCAGAAGAGTTGAGGGCATACCCAAGGGACCGATTACCATGACGGGGCATAGATAAACCTGAATAAGGAAAAAAAAAAAAATGAAGAAATAGGTGGATGAGAAAAAATAAAACTTTGGCAGTCTCAGTGTTTTGGGGGTCTCAGTTAAAGCTGAGTGTCAGAGGCAATGAACTAGAAAGAAAGATGAGAGGTGGTAGTCAGAGTGAGATGTCTGAAATTGACATCATGGATTTGTAGATAATGAGAATGAGAAGGTCTAGGATATGACAGAAGGAGTGATGGGGGAGGTAGGGTGGAATTCAAGATACATAGCAAAGAGTAGGCAAAGAAAGTGAGAGGCCAGGTTTGGGGAAGGATCACCAAAGATGTTTAAGCTGATTTCACCAATACAGCAGGGCTACTGGGGAGAGTAACAGGAGCTGGATATTTGTATATTCAGAGAAAGGGGAATGGCTGGCAGTAAGCAAATTATTGCTAGAAGAAGGTGTGGGAAATTAACACACTGGGAAATTCAGAACAAGATGCAGAACTGGAGATTGTTTTAGGGAGGAGAGAGCAAGATCTGGAAGCAGCAGAGGATAAAGAATGACACCACCTTCTACTCCAGCCCCACAGCCTGTGAATCCTACAACCAGTAAGAAAAAATCGCAGCCTGAGGCAGGGAGGCAGGGGTTTTCATGGAGACAGTGTTGAGTGAGATCAGAACAAGGGGGTTTTATCTAAGAGCACTGAGGGCTCTGAGGCCTCTTTTTCCCAGATCTGAACCTACAGCTTAAGGATAACAGCATTCTTTTTTTTTTTCTAATTTTAATTTTAATTTTTTAATTGCATTTTAGGTTTTGGGGTACATGTGAAGAGCATGCAAGATAGTTGTATAGGTACACACGTGGCAGTGTGATTTGCTGCCTTCCTCCCCTTCACCTATATCTGGCATTTCTCCCCATGCTATCAAAACAGCTTTCTGAAGAGAGACTGTAGAGCAAAGCATTTAAATGCACAGAATTTGAAGCAAGACACCCTAGCTCAGTGACCTAATGGCTATCCAATTTTGGAATAGGGATGTAGCCACTCTGGGACTTAGTTTTCTCATTTTTGAAAGATTATGTTTTCATAAGGATGAAATGGATTAAGATATGCAAAGCACATTGAGCAGCTTCTAAGTGGTAATTCATATCACTATGTGTTCAAAGAATACAAGGGGTGCATCCTGGATATGCGAATGCCTCCTCTTGAGCCATAACACCCCACTGACTAATGTCAGTCAGTCATTAAAGTATAGCACATATTCATTCCTATTTAAGGGTAAAAGCTAATATTATAGTTACAGACTCTGAAGACATTAAGAAGATTTTCTCCAACTCTTTCTGCTTCACCCAAATCAAATCCAATGCAGGTGTAAATTCAGAAATCCTGTTTTGTATTAGAAGATGGAGAAAATATAGTTTCTAGCCCATAGTTTATTGCTGTTCTTGAAATTTAATTCAGATATGCATGTATTCTTTCTACTCTAATGGGGCACCTGGGCAGAATTTCACCAGCTCTTTCCTGTCATAGTATAATACCTCAATTTGTAATTTAAAGATAGAGGGGGGAAAAGCTGAATAAAATTAAGATGAATATTTGAGAGACATGTTCATGGACTGTTTCCTAGGTAAGGGATCCCACGAGGATTAGAGAAAAGGTTCTCCCTTATTGAGTAGTCAAGTGGGAATAAGAGCTCCCTGAAGCTAGGAAGAAAATAGAAGCACTACCATTTGCAATAAATAGTTCTGATTATTATTATGACTAAATGAAAGTTGACATTTCTCTATTTTACACTTAAGAACTGAAGATCTACCAATGAATAAAGATAAAGGTCCAGTAGGTTTTATAAGCCTGGTATTAAAAAAAAAATTACCCTCGTTGATAGATAAAATTGATCTGGCATTTCACAAAGAAGGTAAATGGATCTTTATAAATGGTTTTCTTCTCCTCATACAGGACACTTCAACTATTTAAATAATTTAAAAGTTATTTCTCATGGAAACAGAATCAATTTTCTATATGCCTGAAGCATATTAATAAGTATTCTGAATTTCCTTCCTTCCAGCCAAGTGATAAGTCACTGCAAAGAACTCCTGAAAGCTATTACATTGTAGAAAATACAATTTTCTCCTTGAGAAAGAATAGTTATTGGGTGCTGTTAAATTTAACATAGAAAATACCAAGTTACTGTGGCTATGCTATGCATAGGAAAGACTCTTCTGTGTTGGTCAACTGGTAACACTCACAGAAAGTTTATGCTCCTGTCACATTTCCATTTATGAGTATTTGTTTTTGCGCTTGTCTAAGCCATGCCTCCCACCATATTTTTCACCCCAGACACTTTGCAGAAGTTTTCATTTTTGTTTTGAGTTTCACTCGTTGCAGCTGGTATTACAAAAAAGTATTACTCTGACTATAGTTTTTCTAATAAATAAGATCTGGACATTTCAACATTCATTTACTACTAGCAGCACATGGGAACTTAGGGTAAACCTCCCACCACCATTTTGAGCATCAGGGATCTGAGTAAAATGAAAGTTTGGACTTTGACATTTACAAATGGTAGCAGTTTCAAAAATTATAAAAGGAAAGTGTTCATAAATACATTCAATCATAGTTATCAACTCTACATTTAAATGGTTCTAACCGAGGTTTCTCTCTCTTTATGGTCAACATTAGCTTCGCCTCCTATGGTCTATTATACATTTAATACTTTTATTATCCCTGATGATTAACGGTAGCTTTCTGGTACATCAGAAGTCCCTCCTTTCCAATTCTTAACAGCCAGCCACTCTCTGTTCACTGTTATAGTAGGTCTTGACTGGCAGTGTATCCTTGAAATTATTTCTCTATTTGGTTTTAGTGGCAAAGATATGGTGATCTAGATTTGAAGAAAAAAAAAATCAACAGCAAAACCCCAAAGCAGATCTGAAACTTTCATTTAAAAAGACAGCAATTGATGTTTTTATCCTATGTAGAGACTAACATAATTTTCTAATTTAAAAAATTGCTAAAAGGGATTTCATAAAAGCCATGAACTTGGGATTTTTTTTCCCTGTATCTTTTAATGACTAGTAATATAGCATCTTAGCAGACAGCTCATCTCACCTTCCTGCTGGGCTAGAGCCACTGTCTTCACTTTCCCATTGGTCATTTTTGCTTCTTGGAATTGGAGGCTGTAGCATTTCAGCAGCTAGGGGATCCGCATCATTTTCTTCTCTACCAATCCATTCTCCAATCACACGGGGCCTCAGAAGAGAAGAATTAAATGCCACTGTTTCCTGAAGAGAAGAAAAGAATATGCTGTCTTAGATGGTTTTTTCTTATTAACAGGACAACAGGGAAATAATGTTGCCTAGGGATTTGACTGTCAAATACTCCTTTTTGTCTTTCTGAATTGATATAAAACTTCAGTTTTCTCCAGCTCTACTAGATGGCTTGTTCTATGTGATTTATGCTAATTCCTAAGGTCACTGTGATAAAGGATCCAGAAGTTGAAATCTTTGCTTTGAATTTGGAAGGCTGCAATATGTGCTCTCAGGAAAAAGATGTAGGATGAGCATTCCAGACAGAAGGAAGAGTGTGTTGTAAATGGGGCAGCCCACATAGGGAGAAAGTTTGGTGTCACTGCTGGGAAATAGTAAGTAACTGCCCAAGTGGGACAAGAAGAGGTAGGGCTGGAAGGGTATATTGCCTCCAATTGCAAAGCATTTTAGATATTTCCGGATCCAGCAGAAATTCAAAGCAGGGCAATATCAATGGCAGATATGTTATGCTAATTCAACAAATGTTAGTAATCTGTTTTCATAAACTTGAATATGATGCAGCTATTAAAATGCTATCATAGGAGAATACTGAGTACATGTAATTGCTAGGGATTTTTTGTTAAGTGAAAAAAAGGGCAAGTTAAAAAACAATACTTATAGTATAATCTAATTTTTGTTTAAAAAAGTCAAATGAGTATATATCCATTTCTTGTTCATGAACTAATTGATTTATTCATTCTCTAATATTTATTAAGACTTGCTATGGACAAAGAACTGCTTGATATGCTGAAGAAAACAATGGTGAATAAGATCAAAATTTAATGGTGCCTTTATTTGAATGAAGGAACAACAGGTAATTTTAGTTTCTTCTTTTGGCATTGCAACATCATTTCTATATTCTGCAGTAAATATGTACTTGTCTTGTAACGAGAAACACACATTTATAAAGCCTCTTCAACTAAAAAATACAGGCCTTGTTTAAATATGTTTAGTAATAAATTTTAGTATTACAATTATAGTCTTGAACAATTCTTTACAAATTTAGATGCTGTTCTGAGTCTTCAGGCCTCACAACATATTCTACATTTCAGTACAGAATACAATGCAATATAATCTTACAATATATACAGTATATAATCTACATACAAATATAATACCAAAAGCAACACATGAAATATGATTTAGAACATATTTGATGAGCATTTCTCCAAGTCATAGCAAGTGATAGAAAGGAACTGACTATCTTAATTTTGATCCAGCCTACATGAAAATATAGCAGATACATTTTCGAACCAGTGTTTTTAAAACTTAACAATGAATCTGAACTCCTTCTATACTTACACTCCTCACATCAGAAAATCAAAGCACTACAATAGGTTTCAGCTGTAAAATAATGCAATCAAGTGAATGCTTTCAAATAAGCTGAAGGGCATAAGCATCTGCCACAGTTTAATTTTATTTGAAGTACAGGAATTAAAATTAACAATACTGCCCAACTTTAAATCTATATTTACTTTTAAAAGCAGATGATTATGAAGACATGTTTTTAAGTTTCAAAATCTATAAACATATTTACAACTTCAGAATGCTTTTCCATCTGTGAGACTTTATAATGTTACTTATTCTCTGAATTTTATTTTCTCCTATTGTAAAATGGGGGTAATAATTATAAGGCCTATTGCATCAAACAAATTAGTAAATAACATAGTTAAACCATAAAATTCTTTTTTTCCCCTGAGGTGAAAGACCAGTTGTTTTACTTAAAAAAATTGTTTTGCTTTAATTTTAATCTCTCAAGTACCAATGTTTTAATAAAATACCATAAAAACCAATAATCATAAACAACAATCTTTATAGAACAAAGGCATATAAAAATATGTCAAGGGTTTTGAATTTGTTTTCATTCAACAAATATTATTGAATTGCTATAAAATTTACTAAATACTCTCAATTTCTATACTTATTTTATTAGAGAATAACAAAAACAATTTAAGTGACTCTGCTCTGTGGACTTTTAAAATAGAATTACTGTCTGTCACTGTGTATTAAATGTTGCATGTGGATGTATTCTCAGAGAGCTATGTGGTCTCTGAGGGGAAAAAAACTATTATATACACATATGTATTCAAAATTTATGTTCTTTTGATAACTTTTAAAAAGTAATACAGGTGTGTTCTGCATCTCCTCACTGACCAGAAAGTACAGTTTCATGATCTAAGTGCCCAAGTTTGTGTTTATGTTTATGATTAAGTCGACAATGAGTACTATTACTTTAAATGTCAAGGTCTCATAAATAAAGGCAAAAGGAAGCTAAAGAATCTGATACTTGAGGGGAAAAGGAGAAGATGGCGCTGTAGGACCAACTCAGAATTGCAGCTCCCAGTGAATCCGCAGATGGTGAGTGGACGCCGCATTTCCAGACAGATCTTTATTGCCCACAGACCAGGAGATTCCCAGGTGTAGGAGCCCCACAGGCCGCCAGCCCGGCTGTTTGGCTGGCATGGCTGTTTGGGCCGGGGCCCCAGTGCAGCAGCACTCTGTACAAAGTACACTGGTTTGATTGCCCTGTTAAACCAGCAATTGGAGATTTCGGAAGGCAGATTAGCACATTCATCTGACTAAATGGGCAGCAATGTGATTCCAGATGGCACAGTGGGTCACTGTACGGGAAATCACACAGATCTCAGCGCCCTTTCAGCAGGTGACTGGAACACCTGGGAGAGAGTCAACCATTCAACTTAAAAAAAAAAAAAAAAAAAGGGCTCTGAGGCAGGGAGCCAGGTGATCAGGCTCAGCGGGTCCCACCCCCACAAAAACAAACAAAACAGCAATTGGAAAAGCTCAGGGTTGAGAGTTTCATGGCAAGCACAGCTGAACCCAGGATGGTGCTGCTCCGAGGGGGAGGGGCGTCCACCATTATTGAGGCACTAGACCCCTATGGAGGTACACTGCCATTGCTGATGCAGCCTGCCATTGCCGAGGCAACCCACCATAACAGAGAGAGTCCGCCACTATTCTCTCTTTTCTTTTTTATCAATCTGGCTAGTGGTCTGTCTATTTTGTTGATCTTTTCAAAAAACCAGCTCTTGGATTTATTGATGTTTTGAAGGGTTTTCGTGTCTCTATCTCCTTCAGTTCTGCTCTGATCTTAGTTATTTCTTGTCTTCTGCTAGGTTTGGACTATGAGTTTGGAGAGTTAGCATCTTTTTCTGGCTTGATCTACTAGAGGCTGTCTGTTATTTAGGGTCTTAAAGGGAGGGTGGGAGGGAGCACATTACATGTATTCAGGGTATAATCCATATTTTAAAGCTTTTTCATTGCTATTTTGTTTATCTTGAGAGAACAGATACAAACATGTAATGTACAGAATTAGATCACATATACGTGTGTGTGTGTGTTTGTGTGTGTGTATGGGCCAACATGTGTGTTTTGTAATTAAATACACTAGTTCAGAGAAGAGGAAGCTGAAGCTCAACATGGACCAGATTCAGCAGTGGTAGTCTCACCAAGAGACATAACCAACTTCAGTATTGTGTCTTCTTCCTTTTTTTAAATTTTGGATTCAGGAGGTACACGTGTAGGATTGTTTCATGGGTATATTGCGTGATGCTGAGGTTTGGGATACAGATAAACCATAAATTCTGTGTATAAGCCAGATACAATTATTTAAGAGTGTAGACTGTATTCAGATCATTTTGATGTATCACTGCTGGAAAGGACAAATTGAGTAAGAATAGATACCTGGTAGTCAATATGGGCAGAGTAACCAGACAGGGAATTGACAGTGCAGGCTTTCATTCTATAACGTTTCATTTTATAGGTATTTATTTATTTATTTATTTATTTGATGGAGTTTCGCTCTTGTTACCCAGGCTGGAGTGCAATGGCGTTATCTCCGCTCACCGCAGCCTCCGCCTCCTGGATTCAGGCAATTCTCCTGCCTCAGCCTCCCGAGTAGCTGGGCTCACAGGCACGTGCCACCGTGCCCAGCTAATTTTTTGTATTATTATTTTTTTTTTTTTAGTAGAGACGGGGTTTCACCTTGTTGACCAGGATGGTCTCGATCTCTTGACCTCGTGATCCACCCGCCTCGGCCTCCCAAAGTGCTGGGATTACAGACTTGAGCCACCGTGCCCGGCCTATAGGTACTATATTTAAAAGTTGATGGCCGGGCGTGGTGGCTCACGCCTGTAATCCCAGCACTTTGGGAGGTCGAGATGGGCGGATCACGACGTCAACAAATCGAGACCATCCTGGCCAAGATGGTGAAACGCCATCTCTACTAAAAAATATAAAAATTAGCTAGGTGCTGTGGTGTGTGCCTGTAGTCCCAGTTACTTGGGAGGCTGAGGCAGGAGAATTGCTTGAATCCGGGAGGCGGGGTTTGCAGTGAGCTGAGATGGCGCCACTACACTCCAGCCTGGTGCTTGGCAACAGAGGGAGACACTATCTCAAAAATAAAAAAAAAGGTTGAATAATTAATTCAATATTATTAATCTCATTTACATATGGAACAAATTGGGCTTGGAGAGTATTTGTCTCGCTATATGTTCAAAGTAGATGGGACTTGAAACAAAGAGACAAACAAAGACATTTACCACGGAAACTACAGAAATAGATGAGCTTATGCACTATAAGCCAAAGACTGAAAAAGGTTTTAGAGTTGGGTATGATCAGAAAGTTGAGAACAGCAGAGAATCAGAACTAACTCCTTGGTCGCTTACTAGGAAATCAAATGCAATGGTAGATGTATCGTTATTGAAAAGTAGAGCACACAGAGAGAATAAACGGTGTGATATTCAGGATGTCTAACGCCAGCTGGCATAGAAATTTGAGAAATAGCTGACAAGCAAAGCAATACTAAGAGCTGCAAACAGGGTCAGAGGAGTTAGGAAGTAATAATATTTTACAGGTGAAAAATGAGGCTCTACTATTTTTATTTTTCTAAATGAACAAAGCTCTTTAGATTCCTCCCATTCTAGTGCTGATAAAAAAATGGAAGCAAAGAACACTTT